ACAGGACAGAGTAGAGTTTAGGGCTGTTGTACATAGGGTTGCTATGAGTCACAAGTGACTTGAAGGCACATAACAACAACAACAACATATTACTTAGAATTTCTAGGTCATTTCTAATAATTTAAAAGAAGTTAAAATTGTTAGGTTACTTTTGATAATTTATTTTAAATACATTTATGAACTTTAAAAAATATGAATTTCAGAGGACAGGATAGGGAGCAGTTCCTTTTAAGCTAGTGTAAGGATTTTGGATTTTATTCTAATTAAGAAGTCATTAGAGATTTCTGAGCAGAGGAGTGATGTGATACGACTTGTGACATTTTATCTTTGCTTTCTTCTATTTAAGGAGTCTTGGTAATGAAGTGTATAATACATTGGATTGTTAACTGAAGGTTCACCAGTTTGACTCTACCAACCATTTGGCAGGATAAGGATGGACCATTAACTCTTGTAAAGATTTACAGTCTTGGAAATCAGATCAATAGTCATCATGAATAAATATCAGCTTGATGGCAGTAGGGGTTTGTTGTTGTTCTGTTTGACAAGTCTCCTTACTCATGATCCATTCTTATCCATTCCTCTGTCCCAAAAGGCTGGCCTCAGAAGATTGCATCACCCCGTGGTTGGTTTAACTACTCTCAGGAGATCACAGAGTAAGAGGGAAAATTGGAATTGATCTAGAACAAACTATGGCTAACATTAAGAAGAATGAAAATCCAAGACACTATTTTGCTTGTCTGAAATCTATACCTAGACCAAGAAACTGTTGTCTGAACAATGGAAACACTGCTTGATTTAAAATCAGGAAGGGTGTGCACCAGAGTTGTATCCTTTCTCAATTCCTGTTCAATCTGTATGCTGAGCAGATAATTCACAAAGCTGGAGGAGGAATGTAGCATCAGGTTTGGAGGAAGACTCATCAACAGCATACCTTATGCAGATGACACAACCTTTCTTACTGAAACTAAGGAGAATTTGAAAGTATTTAAAAATTTATTACATCTCAATATCATGAAAATAAAGGTCCTTACCAGTAAGCCAATAGGCAATGTTATGTTAGATGAAGAAATGATTGACATGATCAAATGACTACATCTTACTTGGATCTACCATCAACACCCTTTACCAGCATCAGGAAATTAGGAGACATACTGCATTGGACAAGTCTACAGTCAAGTATCCAAAATAGTAAAGAGCACTGGTACCAGTTTTAAGACTAACATGCACCTGAATCCGACCATCTTTGCAATAGTTTGCTATGTATTTTAGAGCTGGACAATGATTAAGGATGACAGAAGAAAAATTGATACCTTTGAGCTGTGGTGTTGGAGGAGGATACTTAACATCCCATAGACTGCCAAAAGAACACACACAGATATGTCTTGGAAAAAGTATAGCTAGACTGCTCCTTGGAGGCAAAGGTGGCAAAACTTCATCCTTCATACTTTGGGTGTGTTGCTAGGAGAGGTTATTCCTTGGAAAGGGATATTATGATTTGAAATGTGGAAAGTCAGCAAAAGAGAGGAAACCTCCACATGAGGGGTTGACATAGTGACTGTAGCAATGGGTTCAAGCGTGTCGGAGATGATGAGGCTGGCACAGGATAGGACAGAGTTCAGATCTGTTGTTCACAGGGTTGCTATGAGTTATATTTGACTTGATGGTACTCACAACAACAACATGCCCCTAAAGGTACAGTTCTCATCATCTAGTATCACTTTCCCTCCTTAAATCTTTGGCTCAGAGGTGGCAATATCTGCCTGTGATTATCAGCCTCCAGATGCCTCCTTTTTTCCTTTGTTCTCTTACTCTCCCCTAGTCTCTGAAAGTGTCTACCTTCTCTACTCTCTAAAAGGTTCTTCAGTGAAACCATCAAAGGTTAATTGTACTACTTGGTTTCCTCAATAACATTCATTTTTATGGAAACTCTTAGATTGGTTGTTAAAAACAGAATTCAATTTGAACACATTTGCAATATTGTAGATAAACATGACGGCAGGTCTTAACCTTATATGAGTAGTATCTTTACACAAGTGGAGAAAATACAGGGAGGCAGACATACAGGAAGGGAAAGCCATGTGACCTTGCTGTTCTAAGTCAAGAAACGGAAAACCTAGAGCTTCCAGAAGGCCAGGCTCCTCCTCAGTCTGCAGAAAAAAGGAAATGAGTCTGACCTTCTAATCAGCATCATGAGGAAATAAACTTCTCATTTTGTAAACATCAGTTCAGTAGCATTTTGCCACAAGAGCTCTGGAAAGTATTTGAGCCTTGAGAGATTATATTAGACCACCAAGGGAGTAAAAGTAGGTGAAGAAAAGCACTGAGCACCTGAAGACTTCAGAGATTCACAGGTTGGAGAAATGAGAGAGAATCATCAATTGAAATGGTGAAGGAATAGCTAATGAGTTATGAGAAAAATCAGGAGTGTGGGAAATCCTGGAAGACAAGTAGAGAGTGTTTCAACTCTGCCAAATGCTGCTATGTAGTCCAATAAGAGCGCTGGTTGTTGGTTTTAATCAAGAGAAAGACCTTGGCACAAATATTCTTGATTAAATCTTGCGGTTGAAAGGTGAGGGGAAAATATTGAAGAGGGATTGGTGAAGACTTGAGTCTAGATATTCCCCGTGATGGGGAGTGAGAGTGCATTAGAGGAGCCGTGGTAGTGCAGATGTTAAGTGCTCACTTGCTAATAGAAGACTGGTTGTTCCAGATCTCCAGCTAGTCTGCAGGACGGAGATGTGGCAGTCTGCCACCTAACAACTTATATCCTTGGGACCCCTACAGAACACTTGTGCTCTGTCCTATGGGTATGCTATGAATTGGAATTAATGGCAATGGAAATGAGAAGCTGGTTATCACTTCACTGATGTCTTGCCTCTAGTAGCTTTGTTTTCACTTCAGTAGGGAGCTCTGATGACCTAGTGGCAAGAAGCTGTGCTGCAGTCCTGAAGGCACGTGATTCGAGGCCACCAGTTGATAGAGGGGGAAGGATGGGTAACACCTCCCATGCGATTAACTGCCTCTGAACACCTGCTAGAGGATCAGCTATGGGTCAGGTACAACTTGATGGCACACAACAACAACAATAACAACCTGCCACCCAAACTACAGCTTAGGGATCAAAAGCACAAGCTTTAGAACTAACTGACCTGCTTCTTCCACCTGTGACTAAGGTAACTTTCTTATCTACTTACCAACCTACCTATTGCAGTCAAGTTGGTTCTGACTCATAGCAACCCTCCATCAGGTTTCTGAGGCTATAAATCTTAGTAAGAGGTGACTTTCCATTTTCCTCCTACAGAGTTGTGAGTGGATTTGCACCGTGTGAGAGAGCTAGCTTTTCGGTTAGCAGTTCAACATGCAACCAACTCTGCTAATAGTTTCTAACCTCTCTATTATTTAAAACATTAGATATAATATGGAAAATAGTCTTTGCAATAATAATTGTATCTAACTGCTTTTTATAAAGATGGAACAAACTATGTATGTCAATGACTTCCCCAAATGTTTCATTTCTTTTTAATTTCCCAACATCAGTAGAGTCTTAATTTCAGGCACAGTCTTAGTTTCCTTACATTTTACACTCCAGAAATAAAAAACAAACAAACAAAAAACTCACTTGTAGATCCCCTTGGGCAAAAAGTTAGTTTTGCTTTCTCCAGGCTTAATTTCAACAAGTTAAGTGTTAGTAACAAGAATCACCACTAGAGCGAGAATGAGGGAAAAAAGAAAAAGAGAGAAAAGGAACTAATGAATCAAGTGGAGGTAAGTGGGCTGGTAGACATTGCACATTTGTCTGAAACTGAGTTGATTGTATGATGTTTGAGATTGTCAGGACCCTTTGTCACAGTTAGCTCTTGTGTTTATCAAAATAAAAGGAAAACAAGAAAGAGAAATGGGAAAAGGAAGAGAGATAGAAAAGAAGAAAGGAAGGAAAGAAAGAGAAATGAAAAAGAAGAAGGAAGGAGAGAAGGGATTAGTCAACAACAGTTACTATTAACACTCCAGATTGGCTCAAAGACTCAGGTCTCTCAGGGGAGGGAATAGAAGTCAGGCTAAGAAGGGGGTGGAGAAAAAAAGAGAGAAGAGGAGGAGGAAGGGGAGGGGAAGAAGAGGAAGAGGAGATGAGAATTGGTTAAAGAAAGAAAAGAAAGCAGAAACCTCTGTGGTGATAGTCTGTCTCCACGCAGACAGAACACCTGCCCCAGTGACAAAGATCCCTGCTGCTGAGTGGAGAGAGCCTGGAGTTGAAGAGCGAGGGGGACACTCAGGAAAGCCATGGTGAGCACAGGGGCCAAACCCGTCCCAGCTGTTCAGACTGAACCTTTTCTTTCGAGGCAGGTGGCAAAGGATATGAAGCAGCACATTTCATCTTTGTTAAAAAAAAAAAAAAAGACAAGAACAAAACTTTCAGAGTGATCCTAGAATCTTTTCTTTCAGATATACTGATTTCCTATCATTGACTTTGTCTCTGATGAGATTCTGGAGATATTGCTAACCTGCTGAGATTAGCATTTTGATAACTAAATGCTGTGGTTACCTGAGAAGTGATGCAACTTAGATATGTTTTTCAGGGTGTGAAAAGAAAATATGCATGACCTTGTTATTTAAGTTGCTCAGAATGCCTTTTTTATTTTTTTAACTTGGAAGTGGGAATGGATTTCTTTCCAAAGTAGTGTCAAGTTGGCTATAAGCACCAAATAGTATCAGATAGTTTGATCTAACAGCTCAGTAGTTGTTGGTGTAAAGGACCTACTGAAATGATGAGGGGGAAATGAACAGCAATTTAAGGCTAAAACATGAGAAAAATAGTTTTGAAGGGACTTTTTTAATGCTACTGTTTCATATCATGTCTGAGAAAGATCTTCCCTCAGATGTGCTGGTTGGCATCTCTGTTTTATTCTGAGTTCTCAGACAGTTGTATGCACCTCTTAGGGTGCTGGAAACTTGTGGTTTATGAGCATAAATTTCAATACAATTTTGTATTTTACTTGCAGATATTTCCATGGAAATGCCAGAGTCCTCAGAAGCGCTTATGGGACATCTTCAAATTGTGGGTCTGCACATTGCTCTGCTGTGGTATGTTATGATGTTTGTCCATTGCTAAACCTTTTACACTTATGCTAATCTTGCTTCATTCCCATTGGGTGTGCATGGTCTCAGGGAAAATTACTAGACAGCTGTTAATTCTACCTTTCTATGAATGTCTCTTCTTCGCACTCTTACCTTTAGCACTTACCCAGAACTCTAATCTTATTTCAGGAATGCAAATGGTTAAACACTTGACTACTATCAAAAAGTCTAGTGGTTTAAACCCACTCAGAGGTGCCCCACATGATAGGTCTAGAGATGTGCATCCAAGATGTCACAGCCTTGAAAACTCTATGGCACAGTTTCCTCTACACTCAAGGTGACATCGTGAGTCAGAATCAACTGAAGCCAATTACCAACATTCACTTTATTTTTTTACTTGCTATATCCTTGCTTCTTGTTATATGCTGTGGCGTTTGAGGTCTCTCATAGCTGACCACCCCACAGGTTTTCAGAGGCTGTGATTTTATGGGAGGAGATTGCCCATATTTTTCCATGGAGAAGTTTGTGAATTTATATGACTTTAGGTTGGCAGTGCAACTCCTTAATATATCCCATGAACAATATTCTAGTAATGCCTCAAAAGTCTTCAATTGATTCAATGAAGTAAAACAAAAAAAAAATATCTAACAAGACACTTTCAATAAATAGTAAGAATTTTGCACACTCTTTTCTATTCTTTTAATTAATGGTTCATTGTGCACCAATGCCAGTTTTACAACTACACTATGAGCTTTTTGGGGACAAGGGCCATGGTTTATCAGGGTGGAGCTTTTTTGTTATTGTTGTTATTTGTATGTTTTCTGTGGATGTGACAAATTTCTTGGACACTCTAAGAATTGCTTTGAATTTTCTTTCTTTTGCATTTCCTAAGTGAACGAAAGTCTTCTTACTACTTAGCTAGGATTCACAACATTGACTTAGCAAACATGCCTAGTCTAACTCCCTACAAACATCTGCTCTACATTATGTCTGTCTGTGCCATCTGCAAATCCAATGGTCTTTTATTCAACAAGTGTTGACTGAACCTGTATTAAGCCAGACACTGTTCTAGTTACTGAAAATGAACAAAATAATTACCTCCCTTTTGGAACCTACACTCTAGCACAGAGTTACTTTACTTACTTATAATATGAATCACCACAGTTTACCAACTCTGTTCATACCTGATAGAATGAATTTGATCAAAATTATCTTAGTTATATTTTCTTTGTCTCTGCTAGTCCTTGTTCATCGAGATACTATAAAGGGAGCTCTGGTGGCCAAGTGACAAGAATCTGAACTGCAATCCCTAAGGCACTTGGTTTGAGGCCAGCAGCTGCTCCGTGAGAGGAGGATGGACTATCTCTCCCATACAATTAACTGCTTCTGAAAACCTGCCGGAGGGTCAGCTATGGGTCAGTTCTGACTCTTCAGTACACAACAGCAACAACTATAAAACTAGATGTATATTTTCCACATTATTTCTCTTTGGTACTTGTCCTATACATTGTGTAATCTCAACAAATGTTGATGGCAGTGAATACTTTATAATAGTGTTTCAAATTGGTCATACCATACTTAGAGTACATTATTATCAAGCAATTCTTTGTTTGTCAGTTTTATTCTAGATATAATATTTTATTTCTTAGGATATTTGGTAGTATAGTGCATGACTTTTGGTGTAGTTATCCAACAGGCCATCCCTCTGGGGAAAGATGAACTATCTCCCAATGGAAAGACACATAATGTCAGAAACCCCATGGAGAGTCATTATAAGTAAGAACTGACTTCACAATGAGGTGTGTTTGGTTTGATATGGCCTAATGGGTAAGGAGTTGCACTGCTAACTCAAAGTTTGAATCTACCAGATGTTCCTTGGGAGAAAGATGCGTGGTCTTCTCCTGTGTTACTTACAGCCTCTAAAAACTCACTAGAGGGTCAGCTGTGAGTCAATTCCAACTTAATGGCACATAAGAACAATGACAACAATGAGTTGTAGTAAAGCAGTTAAGCACTCAATTGAAAGGTCGTTATTTTGTACACAGTAGCCAAGAACTCCTTGAGAGAAAGATGTGGCAGTGTTGTTGCTGTTATGTGCAGTCGAGTCACTTGTGATTCATAGTGACCCTATGTACAACAGCCCTAAACTCTGCTCTGTCCTGTGCCAGTCGCACCGTCTCTGATACACCCATCCCGATTACCCCAGTCACTGAATCAATCCACCTCATAGAGGGCCTTCCCCTCCTGCGCTGTTCCTCCACCCTCCCAACCATGATGTCCCTCTCCAAGGACCGGTCCCTCCTTACGACATGTCCAAAGTATGTTAGACGGAGCCTCAGAATCCTTGCCTCCAAGGAGCCGCCCAGTTTGACCCTTTCCAGGATAAATCTGTTTGTTTTCCTAGCAGTCCATGGCACATTCAGTACTCTTCTCCAGCACCACAGCTGAAAGGCATCAATTCTCCTTCTATCCTCCCTAGTCATTGTCCAACTCTCCAATGCATAACAAGTGATCGCAAAGATCATGGCCTGTATCAGATGCACCTTAGTCTCCAGTACTTTCCTAAAAAGAATTACAGGATTGGCAAGTCTGTGGAACAGACTTGTCCTACAGGGCCTCTGTAAGCCACAATTGACTTGATGGAAGTGGGTTTTATTTTGTTGTTGTTGTTACTAGTACAAAATATAACACTTGAATTTGTTTAAAATGATTGACAACCACTAGACAAAAGAACTGTAAGCTTTGAAAATTTGTCGGTTAAATTTTCACTTGAAAGAATTTTGAGGGAAAAATATCTCAGGGACAATAAATCTCAGAAAGCCATAAAATTTGTCTGAAATACAGATATGAGTAAGAGCAGTAATATCTCTTTCGTATTGCTGTTGAGATCATTCTAACTTATTACTTATCCTCCAGTGGGTGTCTAAGGCTTCAGATTGCATGGGAGGAGAGTCTCTCTTTCCCCCCTAGAGTGGTTGGTACATGCAAACCACCAGAGAAATACGGCCTTTGAGTTTGCTGCATAACTCTCTAATATGCATTATGCCACCACAAGCTCCCTAAAAGTAGGATATTATGGTACAAAAATCGAAAGGTCTGAGTTCTATTTCAGATCTGTACCAAGTTGTTCTGTAATCTGAACAGGTGACACACACTCACTGAGTTTTTATTTCCTCTTCCCTAAGCTGGAAGCTCTGCCTGGGTATGCTCTTGGGGTTTTTTTCACCTATAACATCATGTGGGTCTATATTGTACTCGTTTCTGTCTTTCAGAATTCATGGCATATTATGGAGCTGACTGCTGGACTTACCATTATTCCAACAAACCCATGAACTGGGAAAGAGCTAGAAAGTTCTGTCAAGAAAATTACACAGATTTAGTTGCCATACAAAACAAACGGGAAATTGAGTACCTGGAGAATACACTTCCCTTCAGACGCTCTTACTACTGGATAGGAATCCGGAAGATAGGGAAGATATGGACTTGGGTGGGAACCAACAAGTCTCTCACTGAAGAAGCCAAGAACTGGGGAGCTGGGGAGCCCAACAACAAGAAAACCAAGGAGGACTGTGTGGAGATTTATATCAAGAGGGAAAAAGACAGAGGAAAGTGGAATGATGACTCTTGCAACAAGCCCAAAACAGCACTCTGTTACACAGGTAGGAAGTGACCCTAGTATTACAGTATTTAGATTCAGGAAGGTCCAGAGTTAGAGAATAATCAAACTAATCCCAAGGAAACACATGGGGAAATAGAACAAGCTGCTAGCTCATTCTAAAATACATCTGATCCTCCAAATAAGCCTGAACCATGCCACTTCTGATAATCTTTGGTTCTTGAGGTTGATGTCTACATGCTAACCCTAGTCACTTACATCAAGATACAACAAAAGATAAATATATGTGGAAAGCAAAGATGATGAGTTAGGTACCTGGTATGCCTGAGACCGTGGCAGGGGAGCGGAAGCAAGGAGATGAGAGTGGTGATAGCTTAGACTCACATGACCAGCTTCCTCATTGTAAATGAGGGGGCCAAGTGCCACATAAAGTGTTGTGGTGACTCTGAGGTTAAAGAGATCATCTGTGAACCCAAAAGTTCAGGACTTTGAATTTATGGGAGAAAAATGTGGCAGTCTGCTTCTTGGAAACTCACTGGAGCAGTTGATTGACACAATAGCATTGGACTGTTGTTGTTGTTATGTGCTGTCAAGTCACCTGCCACTCATAGTGACCCTATGTGCAACAGCACTAAACTCTGCTCTATCCCTTGCCAGTCTTATTGTCTCTGACACACCTATCCCCATTACCGCAGTGACTGAATCAATCCATTTCATGGAGGGTCTTCCTTTCCTGTGCTGTACCTCCACCCTCCCAAGCATGACGTCCCTCTCCAAGGACTAGTCCCTCCTTGCAACATGTCCAAAGTATGTTAGATGAAGCTTCAGAATCCTTGCCTCCAAGGAGCAGCCTGACTTCACTCTCTCCAGGCTGAACCTGTTTGTTCTCCTAGCAGTCCATGGTATATTCAATACTCTTCTCCAGCACCACAGCTCAAAGGCATCAACTCTCCTTCTTTCATCCCTGGTCATTGTTCTGCTCTCTGATGCATAGCAAGTAATGCATTGGATTAGGTGCCACATAATTCCTTCCTTATATAGCTCTTTGTATATTCTTTATGGTTCTGAATGATGAAGCACTGTGTTAGCTATAGTGTGTGATAGTTTCTATGAAGTACATTAAAAACTGTTTCAAAGCAGTCAGAATTTCCAAGCCATATTTGAATAGTGAAGCACTGTTAATTTCATTTTTTGGTACATTGGTCTCTGCTAACTTTGTCAAGCTTGGACTTTAAAAAAATCTTACTACTTTCAATAAAGAAAAGGATTACCAGGCACACTGCAGAAATGATGGGGGTGGGGGTGGGTGTGTAGGGGAAGTCAGGGCATCATCCAACCTATTTAAAACAATAAATGGTAATTTTAAGGGTTTTGATGAGTGCCACAGTGACGTTTCCCTCATATGTGACAGAGTATTATAATTGGCAAGTTTATTCTGAGTGCAAGATAATGTCTACGGCTATATGGCTAATATGCTTCATAAGTTAAAAAATACACACCTCAAACACTTAGCATTTTATTTTTATGTAAAATATTATGAATATAAATATAAGATTTGTCTGTTTATTGAACTAGGCTCAGATAAAAAAAATTACCCATGTCTAGAAAAGTAACTATGAGTATTTTAAAGTAATCACATTAAAATAATTTCTTTTTCTGACTTCCTTAAAGCTTCTTGCCAGCCCTGGGCATGTAGTGGCCATGGCGAATGCGTGGAAACCATCAATAACTTTACCTGCAACTGTGATCCTGGGTACTATGGGCCCCAGTGCCAGTTTGGTAAGCCCCTTTCCTGTCTTTGTTTCTTGCTGTGTAAAATCACACGGCTTGTAATGTTTCTAGAGGTTGGTTGGGGCAAAGTGATACTTGCCGTTCTGAGAAATAGGAAGTTTCAATCAGAAAACTAGACTTTCACAATGCTTTCCGTAAAGATTTCATAACATAACATGATGTTTTGGTTCAGTTTTCAACAGATCTTTCTGAACACCCACCAAGAATGTAGGTTTGAAGTAAATTCAATAAAGTTACAGTAATGGATGTGGTAGATTCCTGCTCTCTAGGAGCTCATAATCTCTCAAATTTATTGGATTAATTACAACACTGAAGTCTGTAAGAAATTATATTGTGGATTAGTAAGAGGGCATCTTAATTACTCAGTGCTGTTATAACAATTACCACAAATTGGGTGGTTTATAAGTACAGGAATTTATACTCACAATTCTAAAGATAAAAATTCTTTACTAGTTTTTGATGTCTACTAATAATCTTTGTGATTCTCTAGTGTCTGTCTTTCCCTGTGGGTACACCTGTGTCTGCTCTGATTTTGAATCCACACTATTATGGCCTCACTAATAAAATCATTAACAAGGATGGTAAAACTTCATCTCACATATTTTGGGCATGTTTTCAGGAGGGGTCGGTCTTTGGGAAAAATTATGCTTCGAAAGTAGAGAGTCAGCAAAAGAAGGAAAGATCATTAACAAGATGGATTGACACAGTGACTGCAGCAATGGAGTTGAACATGGCAGAGATCATGAGGTTGATACAGGAGAGAGCAAGACTTTCATCTGTTCTTCATAGGGCCACAATGAGTAGCGGTCAACTTGCTGGCACCATCACCAACATTAACATAACAAAAGGAAATTCTTTTCTCTTACAGGACCACATCCATAGATGTACAAGGGCCAAGGATTAATATATTTTAGGGAGACAAAATTAATTTCATAACAGAGGGCCTGTTACCCAGAAGAGAATTTTTCTTTTTTCTTCAAAGACATGATGGGGCAATAACAAAGAGAAATGTTCATATAGTTGTACATGGTATTTGAAATTAAGAGAGAGAGAGACACACACAGATATATAGCTTAGATAGATATATAAGGAGATATATTTTGGTACCTGTGGATACTCAAGTTCTTTATAGAAAATTGCATATATTTGCATACATACAACACACATTCTCCCATATACCTTAAATCATCTTTGAATTACTTATAATACCTAATGAAATGAAAATACTATGTATATAGCACTTTATATTCATCTCTTAGCGTTTGACAGATTCTTTGAACACTTAATTGCTTTTATCCCCATGCAAAAATATTACTGATCTTTGGTTTGTTGAAGCCACTGATACAGAAACAGAGGGTTGAACAGAATAGTAAAGTTAACAAATGTATTTTGTATGGATATTTTGGGGAAATAGAGACAAATATAACATCAATTCCATCTTAAGGGCCTTAAGCTGCAACAAGTTTAGAAAGGCTAGGGATAGGGGAGCTCTGGTGGCCTAGTGGCAAGGAGCTGCAACTACAATCCCAGAGGTTCATGGTTCAAATCCACCAGATGCTCAGCCGGGGAAGGAGGGACAATCTCCTCCTGTACCAGTCAGATCTGATTTGACGGTACATTCATACAAAAATAATAAAAATTTTAAAAAAAAAGAAAGGCTAGGGATGCTTTAATGAAGATATATGACCTTTATTAGACAATAAGAGGTCTTTTAGAGGCTGAACATATGCTTTTAAGAAAATTTTCCTGGAAGCAGTCCAAAAAGAGAGCAAAAAGAAAGTAGAAAGTAGACTTTGTAGGAGAGGGTTGCAAAAATTCAAACATAGTGGTGTAAATGTAGGAGAGAAATACACAAGTTCAAAGTCAAGAAGTCTTTAGTCAACTCATTACTGAAAGAAATATCAATGCCTTTGATTGATGATGACTGAATTTCAAAACTGTGTATGATGTATCTAATGCATAAAATAGGAAAGTATAAAAAGGGGGGAAACCCCAATGTTTGTAAAAATTTAACTATGTCAACACCTGGATTGCATGTAACTCAATTCACTCCATTCTTTTTTTTTTTTTTAATTTAGGTTGTTTATTTTTCATTTCAATGAACATCTACAGAGATTTTGGGATTCCATTCATTCATTGTTGCACCCTTCTCCCCACACAA